AAAATGGAATTTGATTCTGGGAAAGATTCACAGGCTTAACGGTGATGTCAGCTTGCAGTTTCTACTTACCTTCAACGACTCCGACTTCTTGCAGTTTTCTTCTCTTACTGACTCTCTGATTGACTGTTGAAGCGGCGTCCTTGAGAACCACCACGATAGTCCTCCCCCTGCTCCGCGATCCTGCACTGGTTCTCATCTCAACTGGCAGCTGCAGGGAGGAATGGATCTGCACGCAGGAGGGTTGCGGAAAAACGCACGGCAGGGGCTTCATGACGGCATCAGCTCACATTGCAACTGCGGCTCACATGATGCATCTGGAAACGCCGGGTTCTGCAACCAAGCAGTCGCTCGAGAAGACAAGTCTTACCGTTATTCGGAAGGAGTGCGGCGTTTAACTGATCTGGTGTGGAGGTTGGACGTAGCCACCAGTTGGAGCCTAGGAGTCAGCGGTGCTTGTGTTGTATCCTTTATCAGCCTGTGGATGATCAGGGGCTGCAAGGCAGTGGACCCATGAATTACAAAAACCACCTTACCATCACGAGCCTCAATGTTAACGGCCCATGAAATCGGGTTAAGCGAACCCGAGTAACTACATGGCTTCAAACAACAGCTGACATCGCAGTCTTAGCAGACACTAGAATAGGACCAAGCCACCACTACTGGAAAACTGTCTCTGACACAACCACCTTAGCCTCTTCTTACCTCACGCGAGCCGGTGGGGTTGCCGTTCTTAGCCGAAACCCCGATGTCACCTTTCATGACACCCTGATTCACCCTTCAGGTAGACTGATTAGGACCACCGTCAAATCCCATGGCCTGGATCTCACCCTCTTAGCCGTATACTTCCCTTCAGACCCCACTCTCAGATCCAGATTTATCCACGACACCTTAGGTCCCATAGTTGACAGTGTGCCTCCCTCCGACCATTTACTACTGATAGGAGACTTGAACATAACCGACGATCCGAAGCTCGATAGGACATCAGGTCAGGGTTCCTCCTCTGAAAACGACAAGCTGCTAACACGATGCACCGCCTTCCAGCTCTCAGACGCATTCCGCACCTTGCACCCACACTGTAGGGAATACACCTTCTATTCCAAAGCTCAGCAAGCCAGTACCCGCATAGACGGTGCCCTTTTATCTCGATCGCTTTTACCTTTCTTATCTGTAGCCTCTCATGACAAACCCGACGAGCCAATTTCTGACCACAGTTTCGCGGTGAAGGTCGCTTTCCGCCTGGACGCGAAAGTCTGCACGGGCCCGGGTATGTGGACATTGCATGCCTCAATGGTTCATCGCGCGGGGGTTCGGAAGATCATTGAAGCGACGGTGCGGAGAACGCCGGTGAATGACGGCAGCAGCTTCAAACTCCTTATCTCGCACCTGGGTGCAGGGCTCATAGCGTGTGCGAAGAAGGAAAGTAAAAGGGTTAAGGCAACACTGGCACATTTGACGGGGACAGTCGCAAAGTTGACGCAGGAAATGATGGGGGACCCAGGCTGTCTCGCAAAAAAGGCGCTCCTGGAAGCGAAGGAGTTACAACTGAAGAAATACCAAGTAGCCAGACAGGAGTGACTGCACCTGCAAGCGGGGTTGACAGCGGAGATGACTGGGGAGATTGCATCCAAGCACCTCTAAGCCAAGGTTCGCGCGAGGAAGGCCAGAACACAAATAATGGAGCTGAATGACGGCAGAGTAATGGTGTCGGGCCCCAAGCAAGTTCTTGCCGCAGCCTCAACCTTCTTCAACAATATTTTCGGGAAGGATCGGCGCACAGACTTTGATGGCTGGGAGATCTGTCAAACTTATATGCTATAGTCTATCTAGGCTGTAGTGGGGTAGTTCATATAGGGTACAACACTTTTAGGTTTCCTACTTGTACCCACCTGCTTGCTAGTTCAGTCATTCATTCGGTCAATATTCTAACATGGTATTCTGAGCAGGTTCCCTCATGGGAACGTTTTTTTTAGGGCCCACCACGAACATTTTTTTTCCTGCCCTGCCCGAAGCGCGCCTCGCACCTGCCTTACCTGCGCCGACGCGCGCCCTTCCATAGCTGGCCCGTCGCGGCCCTGCCTCAGCCGGCCCGTCCCGGCCCGTAGCTGCCCGTCGCTGGCCCGTCGCCACGCGTCGCGGCCCTGCCTTAGCCGCCCACTGCGGCCCCGTGCTGCCCTGCTGCCGCCCGTCGCTGGCCCGTCCCGGCCCTTCCCGACCCGTCTCGGTCCGACCCGGCCCGTCCCGGCCCGTCTCGGCCCGTCCCGGCCCCTTTGCCGCCCGTCGTCGGCCCGTCGCCGCCCGTCGCGGCCTCTGCCCTGCAGCCGCCCTGTCGCGGCCTCTGCCCTGCAGCCGCCCTGTCGCCGCCCTGCACTGCTGCCTCCCCAGTCACGGCCCTGCCCTGCAGCCGCCCCCTGTCGCGGCCCGGCCCTGCTGCCGCCCCAATCGCGGCCCTGCCTTCGCCGCCCGTCGCGGCCTCTGCCCTGCAGCAGCCCTGTCGCGGCCCTGCCCTACTGCCGCCCCTGTCGCGGCCCTGCCCTGCTGCCGCCCCGGTCGCGGCCCTGACCTAAACCGCCAGCTGCGGCCCGGCCCTGCACTCGCCCCTGGTAAGCACCCGCACTGCCCCTGCCGCGCCCGCCGCCTGCTGCCACGCCGCGCCACCAGGAACCAAGCCGCGCCGCCCTGCCGAGCCGCGCCGCCCCACCGAGCCGCGCCGCCCAACCGAGCCGCGCCGCACTGCCGAGCCGCGCTGCCCTTCTGCTTGCACTCCTTCTGCTGCCACTACTGCTACTGCTGCTACTGCTGCTACTGCTGCTACTGCTGCAATGGCTAGCCCTACTGTTCTCACCTTTGATGCTGAGGGACGTGCAGTTGACTTTGGCGTGTGGGTTGACGACCTACAGCTCTTTCTTCGGTGTGACTCTAGGGATGGGGTATCCCTGTTTGATCACACGTCCGGTGTCTCTACTGCACCTGCTACCACTGCTGACTGTACGGTTTGCTCGCAGTAGACCACTCGTGACGCTGTTGCTCGCCTTGCTGTTCGTAGTCACCTGCCGTCTGCTGAGCGCGCGCACTTTGGCCAGTACAAGACTGCTCAGACTTTGTATGACGTTGTAGTAGCACGCTACTCCGACCCTGCCACTGCTGCCCTCAGCCGCCTCATGCTGCCGTACCTGTTCCCTGACATTGCCGCTTTTGCCACAGTCGCTGACCTCATTACTCACCTCCGCACTAGTGACGCCCGCTACCGAGCTGCGCTTCCCACTGAGTTATGTGCCAAGAACCCCCCCCCCCCCCCCCCCATGTACATCACCCTTTACTACCTAGTCACCCGCCTCCCTGACTCCCTTGCTTCAGTCAGGGACCAATTTCTCTCCCTTTGCCCCACCGAGCTCACCGTCGACCTGCTAGAGGAGCGCCTCACTGCAGCTGAGAAGAGTATCTTAGCTGTAGGTGCTTCTCGCGGCGACCGTCGCACCCCTTTCTTTGAGGGGTGTTCCCCTGTCCCCCTTCTCCCCTCTGTTGCTTCTCCTGCTGCTGTCGACCTCGTTGGCACTGCTAAGGTCGGGGTTGCGTCTGCTCCTAGTGGGAGGCGCCGCAACAGCAAGGGCAAGGGGGACAAGGGTAGTAGAGGAGACGGTGGGGGCGGCGGTGGAGGCGGTGGAGGAGGCGGAGGGGGTGGCGGTGGAGGTGGGGGTGGTGGCAGGAGTGGGGGCTTCGGTGGCGGCGGTGGGGGTGGTGGAGGCAGCGGCAGCGGCAGTGGAGGCAGTGGCAGCGGTGGTGGAGGTGGCGGCGGCGGTGGTGCTGGTCGAGGTGGAGCCGCGCAGCATGGAGGCTTTGGTGGCAGCCAGCGCCAGCAGCAGCCGCGTTCCCGTGAGACCCCGTCGGCCCAGCAGCTTCGTGAGTGGTACGCTGGGCGTGGGAGGTCTGGGGGTGTTGGTCCCTGCACTTACGTTCTTCGCACCGGCGGGCGCCGTGGGGAGACGTGCGGGCTGCCACACACTGCGCAGCGCTGCTTTGGTCGCCTGACTGACGCCTGGCGCGCCCAGTTTCCTGACGCTGTTGAGCTCCCGCGCTGGGGTGATCTGCTTAAGCAGAACGTTGCTATCTTTGATCTTGATTTCGATGCTATCCTTGCTGCCATGTATGCTGCGACTGATAGTGCTGAGGGTGACTGTTACCTGTGTGTTCCGCCCGACCCGGGCATTGCGGCTGCTGCTCTAGGTGCTAGTGAGTCTGTTGCTCCAGGTACTAGTGAGTCTGCTGCTCCAGGTGCTGGTGAGTCTGCTCTCTCTGGTACTGCACCTACTGAGGCCTTGCACACTTTCACACTTGACTATGGTGCTTCGCGCTCTTTCTTTCACGACAGCACCACACTCACGCTGCTCAGTCGGCCTGTCGCAGTCTCCCTGGCTGACCCCTCTGGGGGCCTAGTCCTTGCGCACTCTTCCACGGTTCTACCGTGTCCTGCGGCCCCGTCGGGCTTGCTGTCGGGACTCCACCTCCCCTCGTTCTCTACGAACCTGGTGAGTGGAGCTGACCTCCAGGACGCGTGGGTTGACCAGTTCACCCCTGGAGGTCAGCGTGTGACCCACTGCACTTGCTCTCGGACGGGCCGCCACCTGGCCACGTTCACCCGTCGGCCTGGGTCGAGTCTGTACACACTGACTACTGCGACTCCTCCGGTCACTGCGTCTGGTCGGGTAGCCGCGTCTAGTCAGGTGGTTGCTGCCGCGTCCAGGTCTAGTCCAGCGTCTGCCCCCTGCTCGTGTCGTCCTCTGTCGCACGAGACTCTCCTTTGGCACCACCGCCTTGGTCACCCCTCCCTGCCTCGTCTTCGAGGTATGGCCTCCCGTACCCTTGTCTCGGGTCTCCCCCGGTGCCTCCCTCCCCTTCCTCCGGGGCCTGCCCCTACCTGTGTTCCTTGTGTCGAGGGCCGGCAGCGCGCCGCTCCTCACTCCTCCACGTTCCCTCCGACAGAGGCTCCCCTGCAGACTCTTCACATGGACGTGTGGGGCCCAGCCCGCGTCCGTGGACAGGGTCACGAGCGTTACTTCCTGCTGGTCGTTGACGACTACTCGCGTTACACCACAGTCTTCCCCTTGCGCAGCAAGGGTGAGGTCACTGAGGTGTTGATCGACTGGATCCGCGGTGCCCGTTGCCAGCTCAGCGAGAGTTTCGGCTCGGACCTTCCTGTTCTGCGTTTGCACTCAGACAGAGGTGGTGAGTTTTCCTCCGACCTTCTGAGGGCCTTCTGTCGTGCGGAGGGCATCCGCCAAACGTTCACGCTTCCGGCCTCCCCACAGCAAAATGGGATTGCTGAGCGCCGCATTGGCATGGTCATGGACGTCGCTCGTACGTCCATGATCCATGCGGCTGCTCCCCATTTTTTGTGGCCGTTCGCGGTTCAGTACGCTGCGCATCAGATCAACCTTCAGCCTCGTGTCTCCTTGCCGGAGACCACACCTACTCTGCGGTGGACGGGGAAGGTTGGCGATGCGTCAGTGTTCCGTGTCTGGGGATCTCGAGCTTTTGTCCGTGATGCTTCAGCGGACAAGCTGTCCTCCCGTGCCGTTCCTTGCGTCTTCCTTGGCTTCCCCCCTGACGCACCCGGGTGGCAGTTCTACCACCCCACATCGCCTCGTGTTCTGTCCTCTCAGGACGTCACGTTTGACGAGTCGGTGTCTTACTACCGTCTCTTTCCCTACCGCACTGCCTCTCTCCCCCCCCCGCCACTCTTCCTAGCACCAGGTACTCCTCCAGTAGACCCCCTCCCCCCTCAGGGTCCTGCCCCCTCAGGTGTGTCCCAGGTAGACCCTGCTGAGCCGGTCGAGGTAGCTGTCTATACAGGTGCTGCTAGGGGTGCTGAGCCTGAGCGTGTGGAGCCTGGGGGTCCTGAGCCTGGGGGTGCTGAGCCTGGGGGTGCTGAGTCTGGGAGTGCTGAGTCTGGGGGTTCTGAGCCTGAGCATGTGGAGCCTGGGGGTACTGAGCCTGGGGGTACTGCGTCTGGGGGTGCTGAGCCTGAGCGTGCTGAGTCTGGAGGTCCTCCGGGTGTCCCGTCGCGACGGGAGCCCCTCTCTCCGCAGCAGCTTTGTGACTGGTACGCTCGGTGCTGTCGCGGTGCTGCTGGTGCTGCTGGTGCTGCTAGAGCTACTGGAGGTGCTGCTGGTGCTGGAGCTGCTGGAGGTGCTTCTGGAGCTGCTAGAGGTGCTGCTGGTGCTGGTGCTGTTGGAGGTCCTGCTGGTGTTGGAGCTGCTAAAGGTGCTGGAGCAGCTGGTCTTGGAGGTGCTCGTACTGGAGGTACTGGAGCTGCTGGGGCTGGTGGTGCTGCAGGAGTTGGAGCTGCAACTGCTGGAGCTGTTGCTACTGGAGGTGCTTCTGGAGCTGGAGCTGTTGGAGTGACTGGAGCTGGTGGTGCTGCGGGAGTTGTAGCTGGAGACCCTGGAGCTGAGGGTACAGGTGCTGTCTCTGCTGTTTCTGGAGGCGCTGCGCGGCCGCGGCCGTACTACGTTCCGCTCCTTCAGCAGGTTCTTGGTCTCCCGCCTTCTCCTGGTCCTACTCCTCCTTTACTGAGTCCACCTCCTGTCCAGTCACAGTCGCAGTTACAGCCGGCCTCTCCACTGCCTGGTCCTTCTCCTTACTCTGGACCGACTAGAGGTCTTACGGAGCGTCGTGAGCCTGAGTCTCGTCCTGTGTCTCCTGAGTCTCGTCCTGTGTCACCTGAGTCTCGTTCTGCGTCGCCTGTCCGCAGTTTTCGCGCTGGTCGTTGTGTTTCACGTCCGCGTCCTCCTCCTGTCCCTGGCACTCACTCTATGACTCTGCGTCCTTCCACTGCTCCACAGCGTGTCCCTCTGCCGTCTCCTCCTGCGTCCTCTCTTCCTGACGGTCTGGACCCGGAGTCTGACTCCCTTCGTGCTGCTAGTCCTACTGTCACGCGCATTCTGGCCACTGCTGTCACTGACCCTCTGTTTGAGTCCTCTGCTGCGTCTGCTCTCGTTGCTGAGCTTGTTGACTTTGTTGCAGCCTGTCGCCTAGACTACGCCACTAGTCTTGTTGCTGAGTCTGCGTCTGCGTCTGTCTGTCCTCCGTCCGTCGGGGGTGAGTGTGCTCTTGGCACGGACGTTCTTGAGGACAGACAGGAGGAGTTTGAGTGCTTTGCCGCTGCTGTACCTCATCTCGTGTCCATGCTGCTTGCCCCTGAGGGAGACCCGGATGCACCAGACATCCCGACCCCGCGCTCTTACGCAGAGGCGATAGAGGGTCCCTACTCCTCTCAGTGGCAGGCAGCCATGGACGCCGAGATGGCTTCCTGGAAGTCCACAGGCACCTACGTCGACGACGTTCCCCCGCCTGGGGCGAACATCGTCAGTGGCATGTGGATCTTCAGGGTGAAGCAGCCGCCGGGTTCTCCGCCTGTCTTCAAGGCGCATTACGTTGCACGTGGCTTCAGTCAGCGACAGGGAGTTGACTTCTTCCGGACCTTCTCCCCTACCCTGAAGATGACCACTCTTCGGGTACTGCTGCACGTCGCCGCTCAGCGTGACTACGAGCTCCACTCGCTTGACTTCAGCACAGCCTTCCTACAGGGCAGCCTGCACGAGGAGATCTGGCTGTGCCGCCCACCTGGCTTCACTGGGTCGTTTCCTACTGGTACCTAGTGGAGCCTCCGGCGGCCAGTCTACGGTCTCCGCCAGGCACCCCGTGAGTGGCACGACACGCTGAGGACGACTCTTGCTGCTCTTGGTTTTGCTCCTTCCACTGCTGACCCGTCGCTGTTTTTACGCACTGACACCACTCTGCCGCCATTCTACGTTCTCGTGTACGTAGACGACTTGGTCTTTGCTACTGCTGACACTGAGGCACTCGCCCACGTGAAAGTCGGATCTGCAGAAGAGACACACGTGCACAGACCTGGGTGAGCTGACAAGCTATCTTGGCTTGCGGATCACCCGGGACAGAGCACAGCGCACCATTACCTTGACTCAGTCACACATGGTGCAGCAGGTCCTTCAGCGCTTCGGCTTCACGTACTCCTCGCCACAGTCCACTCCTCTGCCTACCGGTCACTCGCTCTCAGCTCCACCTTCGGACGAGTCCGTAGAGCCGAGTGGCCCGTATCCAGAGCTTGTGGGCTGCCTCATGTACCTGATGACTTGCACACGACCTGACCTCGCATACCCTCTCAGCCTTCTGGCTCGCTATGTGGCTCCCGGTAGGCACCGAAAGGTGCACTCGGATGCTGCGAAGAGGGTGTTGCGCTACTTGTGCAGTACGTCGGGCATGGGGCTCGTGCTTGGAGGACGGGCTCGAGTTGTCCTCACTGGTCACGCAGACGCCTCCTGGGTTGACGACTTGGCTACGCAGCGGTCGTCACAGGGTTACACCTTCAGCCTTGGCTCCGGTTCTGTCTCTTGGCGGTCTACCCGCTCGTCTTCTGTTCTCAGCTCCAGTTGTGAGGCCGAGATCTACGCTGGGGCCATGGCTGCACAGGAGTTACGCTGGCTAACCTACCTGCTGACCGACTTGGGAGAGGCGCCTCGTTCTCCTCCAGTTCTGTACGTCGACAACAAGGCCATGCTTGCCTTGTGTCAGGAGCACAGACTGGAGCACAGAACGAAGCACATTGCTCTGCGCTACTTCCTTGCTCGAGAGTTGCAGCAGCGTGGTCAGCTTCGTCTTGCTTACGTGGCCTCACAGGCCAACACTGCTGATTTTTTCACCAAGGCACTTTAGCCTTGTGATCATCAGCGTTTCTGTACTGTTCTAGGCCTTGTACCTACTGTGCCTCACTTGCTTACTTCTTGACTCTGTTTGTACTGTACTCTATATGCATACACCTGCATGCTTACACTTGCTAGGTTGTGTTCACTGTATTGTTTGTTCTTCTTTACATAACCCTGCATGTGAACTGCCCTTGTGGCCATTTGCTTGTGCTCAGACTGCGTGGTGACTTTGTGATCCACCCTGAGCTTGCTTTGCCTTTCTTGACTGGTCTTGTGACCTTTTGTTCTCCCCCACTTTGCCTATGGGGATGTGTCAAACTTATATGCTATAGTCTATCTAGGCTGTAGTGGGGTAGTTCATATAGGGTACAACACTTTTAGGTTTCCTACTTGTACCCACCTGCTTGCTAGTTCATTCATTCATTCGGTCAATATTCTAACAAGATCGCCCCGAATCGGCGCCTGGAATGGAGGTCACAGCGGCACTAATAGCAGAGTGGACGAAGCAGGAGGTTAAGAAAGCCTTCGTCGCGATGGCGAATAACAAGTCCCAAGGGAGTGACGGTCTTCCGAAAGAGCTCTTTGAAGCGCACCGGGATCTGCCGGGGGGGAGTTTCATGGCGGTTTCAAGGGATTTCGAATCATCTGCTTCTCTACCGGCGGAGATAAAGGAAGCGGTGACGATTCTCCTGCACAAAAAGGGTGACCGTGAGCAGCTCAACAACTACAGACCCATTACGCTATTGAACTTCGCTTACAAGGTGTTGGCGAGAGTGGTGGCGGATCGCATGAAAACAGTCCTGCATCATGTCATCTCACCGGAACAATACGGTTTTCTTCCGGGGAGGCGGCTTTCTGATGCGGTGGCGCTGGTGGCCGATATAATTGATGCAGCAAAGAACGACAATGATGATTGGTATCTCCTCCTTGTCGATTTCTAGAAAGCCTTTGATTCTGTGTCCAGGGACTTCCTCTTCCAGGTGCTGAGGGGGATAGGGTTCCCTCCGCGGTTTGTGAGGTGGATTGAAGGCCTGCACGAGAACACAACAACAAAAATCTTAGTCAATGGCTGGTTTGGGGAAGGCATGGACGTGGTGTCTGGTGTCAGACAAGGGTGCCCTCTTGCACCATACCTTTTCTTATGTGTGGTCGAACCTCTGGTGCAAGAGGTGGAGAGAGCGAAGCTGGGGCTGAGCAGGGACGAGCAGCGGCTGAACTATCTGGGGTATGCAAACGACACGACCTTGGTTCTGCATGGGAAAGATCAGATAGTCAGTGCGGAGAAGATTCTGGACAGGTTCGAACGTGTTTCCGGTCTGGTGACTAACAAATCCAAATCAGTGGTGCTTCCCTTGGGGGCTAACCTGGGAGCCCAGGACAATAGAGGCGGAGGCTTTAAATGGGCTGGAGCAGACGACGCAGAGAAGCTGCTGGGGGTCTGGGTGTCGCCATCCGGAAGCGGTGTGCCGACTTGGGAGAAGGCTCTGTGTCACATCACAGAAAAACTGATTAAATGGAAGCAGAAGTACCTTACAACGTCAGCTAGAGCGACGGTGATCAACTACTACATCATCCCGATCGTGGCGTTCCAGGCGCAGATTTATCCACCGCCCGCTGACACGTGGGATGACGTCACCCGCCTCCTCCATGGTTTTGTCTCGAGCAATAGAGTTTCAGTGGCGAAAGGTTTCATTCTCTGGAGCAAGGTTCTCCTGTACACATCCAGGAAAGCGGAGGGGATTGGAGTGAGAGACCTGGAGATCGTACTCTCTTGCCTCGCGGCCAGGTGGGTGGGGCTGTTTTTCATGGAAGGGAACTCGGTTAAGCATGACATCATGACCAAAGCGGCGGATTTACCTTTGGGGGCATACAGCTTTACAGCACATGCGAAGCTGCTAAAGCACAGGGAAGGTCGGAGCATCCGCTGGAAGCAGACGTGCGAGTGCTTCCTCCTCTCTCCGCTCTGTGTCCGGCCGGTTGCGGTGACAAAAGAAGAAGTGTTGCAAGAACGGGTGGTTTTCAATGCGAATATCCTGCTTAACGGGACCACTCCAGTCGGGGGGCAGAAGGACACGGAGCAGCTACGTAAGCTCAGGCTGGGTGACCTGCTGGAGGAGGGGGCCGATGGGGAGCTGACATCGCCATCCATGGCGGCTCTAACACAGCGGCTAGGAGAGAGCGGTTTTGTGAGGCTAGCAACAAGGGCACTGGGCGCTATTCCTGCTCCGTGGCTCCGGGTGTTGGGGTTTCCGACGGTGCTCCCTTGCTCGGCTGGCTCTGGTGTGAAGCTGAACATTTTTTCAGACTAGCAGATAATTCCGCTGCGGCAGATGAAGGAGGCCTGGACTGCGGCCAACATTCAGTCGTACAAACAACAGAAATGGGTAGAACGGTGGGATGGGCACATTGACTTGAAACGGGCGATTCAGACACGGGACTCGCTGGTGGTTCCCAGCCGTCCACGTGACGTTCTTGTCCGAATCCACGGCCTCAACCTACAGGTGGGAGAGCGGCTTGCCTTCCTCAACAGCAAGCCCACGTGTCCTTATTGTGGAGAGCCGGAAACTATGGAGCACTGTCTCGTTCAGTGCCCTCGTATCCAGGCCGTCACCTTAGCTCTTCGACGTGCCTTGTGCATGTACAACCCCAACCGCGCAACAGCCACGCTGGGCGACCTTCTGTTCCAGAAACCCAGTACCAGCTCAGCATTTCCGGACCTGACCATCACGGCAATCACCTTTCACCAACTGTGGTTGGAGCGCTGTGATGCTGTGTTTTGTGGCGGGAAGTTCCGGAAGCAACGGCTGTTGCACAGGATGGAGTTCGCTTTCAAGCAACATGCAAAGATTTACATTCAGAAATTCGGCGAGACGTGGCGGAAACAGAAGCAGAAGGGACTGGCAGAGGAGCAAAGGCTGTTACAGAAGATAAGACTGGATGGCAGTGGTTGGAAGTGGACGAACTTTTGCGGCGATCTGGTCCAATAGGAGGGCTCGGCCCTAGGTGTCTCAGATGGGGCAGTAGCATGTCTACTGTTCCTTACGCACGGTTACGACCGTCTTTGGTAGCATATGCTTACTCACTCGGTGTATGTTTATCAGATAATCTAAAATAAAAAATAAAAATAAAAAATCAACAGTCGTGAGCATCGTCACCGTTAAATCTATCCGTCACAGCCTCCGAAACGTCCGTTACGGAGATGAACTGGAACCTGATAATAGACCAAGAACTACGTTGTGCAACACTGTAAAACAGCTATAATGATTCAGTAAAATACAACGTATTTATCATGTGCAAAAATTCCAACTCATTCTAAAGGATCTCAATTTACAAATGAAGTGACAGGTCTAGCTGATCTTGAGCTTTGAGCTCCTCCCTAGCTTCAACGGAGGTGGGAACCAAATGAGCAGGCACGGAAGCACCTTCCTTAGCCTCACCCATCCTAGACTTCCTTGCCTGGATCTCAGCATCCACATAAGCAAGCACAGCTTCAATGTTGCTCCTGGACCGAGTCAGGCCCATCAAACCAGCAACAGGACCCATGCCTTCTGCAGCACCAGCACCAGGCAACACTTGCCTAGATCCCACTCTTGGCATAGCCTGGGCTAGGAGCTGCATTGCCGCTGCCACCACAACAGCAGGGGGCTGCTGCTGCTGCACCCCTGCTGGGTAGTTCGGGCCTTGCGAAGGCACTGTACGCCCTTCCGAACCTGCAGGTACCGATGGAATAGCCAGACGAGCAGGTACAGCAGGGGCGGCAGGCACGTGCTCATCTGCGTGCTCCTCCAAGTCGTCCTTAGGCGCGGGCTGCACGAAGCGCGTCTCCTTGGAGAACATCCAATCCAAAGCCAGCATGGCTCCAGGGCCAGCAGAGCCCTTGGACGTCGGCGGCGCCATGAAGATGCCACTTGGTGCAGCGTGATTGGTTGCAGCGGCCGCGACGGCCGCTTGATTACCGTCTTCTGTGACTGAAGAACCTCCCGCGCGGACCAGAGGCTTTGGCGAAGATTTGTGCGTCAGATTCACGGTTCTCTTTGTCTGCTTCCCACTGCGCCGGGGCCAGCTCGAAGCATCTCCGTTTAAGTCGCTCTCGTTTTCGTCACCCGAATGACCGTCCGTCTGTCGATGCGTATCGACATCCTCCGTGCGCTGCCGTTGGGTCTCGTTTGCCGTCACAGCGAACAGCCGCGATTGGTCCCACGCGGAACCGTCCAGCCCCGCGAAATCAACATCCGACGTGCAGAACTGACGGCTAGCGGCTCCGGAAGCCACACGATCCGCGATCTTGTCGGCACCTGTCGGCATTTGTCGAGCCGCATCCATGGCCGCGGCGGCGGTCACGCCGTTGTTTCCAGCGCTCAGATGCGCGAGCGCAGGCGGTGCAGCGCACATTGCGGCGGGGAATCCGCCGATCTGGTTGGCTCCCAGCATCCCCAGTTGTTGCAACGCCATCTGTTGCTGCAGAAGCATAAGCGCTCCTTGCGGCGACATTTGCGGCGCCATTTGCGAGGCGATCTGGCGCAGGAGAATATCGCGTTCCGCCAGCGCAGCGGCTTTCGCCGCCTTCGCCGCCTCCTCCGCCGCAAGAGCCGCGGCGGCGCGGTCCTTGTACGAAGGCCGGCCACGCTTGCGCGGGCGCAGCGTCTTGCTATCGTCCTTGGCGCTACGCTTCGATCCACGGCTCGAAAGCGAAGTCTGCGGGCCCGCGCTGACGGAGGCGTTGGCGATCTGAGTCGCCGCCAGCGCGCGAAGGATCTGAAGCTGCGGGAGGGAAGTCGGCCCGCTCTGTGCTGCTGCGATGCCGTTCGGAATCATAGCGACCTGATTAGCGGCGAGGTTCATCATAGTAGCGGCATTTGCGGCGCCGAAGGGGAATTGAAGTCCCGAGGAGGGCCAGCCCGTGGCGAAAAGAGGCGTAAAGGCGTTGTTGTTGTTAGCGGTCGTGGTGCCGGGAAGGCCGGACGAGAGGAGAGACGCTAAAGCTCGTTGTCGCTGCTGCATCACTAGTAAGAGTTCCTGCTGCGAGGTTGACATGGTAAGCGATATTTCTGAAGGTGAAAAAAAGAGTAACGAGCGTGAATGTGTCCAGGGACAGCTGGGACAAGGAATGCAAATCTACCGTAATGCAAACGGTGTTGCTGAGGAACTAATCAAGAATACTTCTTTGTAGGACGAGAAATTCGTGAGGGAGGAAGGACGAGGAGAGGATCGAGTGTGCGAATCGTGCTCGGCAAACAAGTTGTTAGTTAATCGTTATGCCTCATCAGCTTTATCTTGTGGTCTCTCTCCACCCGTCTGTAATTCTGTCTCATCTTGGTGTTGGTTGGTTAGTTCCGTGTTGTCTGCCAACCCCAATCACCACCGGCCCACTGTGTGGAGCCATGCCCAGTTGGCGCACGCGATGCCGGTGACCCTTGTTCCCCGCCCACCTCTTCACGTGGGGGCCACCATATTGTTGAGGTGTGGGTTGGTGCTGTGCACCATGCATGTTCTCCCGCATGCTTCCAGCTGCTTTCTCACTGGACCATTCTAGAAGGCCGACGTGATCGGAGTTCCTGCCCCGCCCCACGGAGTTATTACGCTGGTTGTACTGCATGTGCGCACCACTCAACTCAACCAGGTAGGCTTGTCGCATCAGCTGGAGCAGCAATGCTCACCACCTCCCTTTGACAGACGTGCACATTTCAGTTTCCAGACAGTTTTGCCTTTTCTGATTGTAAGGGGGAAAACCTTTTGACACATGTTTTGAACTGTATTCAAATAAAAATCGTGAAATCTGTCAGTGAGATAACCGTCTACATACATTCACGAATGAAAAAAACTCTACAAAGCTCTCCCTGGTCTGACAAAATATGTTTCGGCACTGGAGAGAGCAACATTAACTTGACGCGTGCGTAGCCACGACTCGGAGGTCAGGACTGTCACGTGATTCAGCGTTTATAAGCGGCATGTGACGCTTGGATGTAATCTACCAAAGGCTCTAATCTGCTAATCACCAATGAGAGGAGAGAGAACTGCTGCTTTACTGGTGGAACACGGGTGAAACAGCAAACCTGCCTCTCACATGTTCAAGCTGGATTGCACTGTAGCAGTTTCGTTCTCCTGCGTAGAAAACTATTATCCTTCACTGCCTAACTTTTCCTTGGGCTGTTGAAAATGGTTATATTAAAACCGAGGAAAATCAGAGTGCAGTGTTTGTTTCACCTACGATTATTATTTCCATGCTTTCTTCTTTCAGGGCAGAAAACATATCAAAACCAGCATATGCCTTTTCCTAACATTTGCCTACTTTCCAGCGTGACAGAATCATGAGGTAAATGCTGCTTCACGTTTGAAATGATTAAGGGTGAGCGTCCTTTTTGTCTCGTATCGCGATCGACCCCAACTCTCAGGAGCACTCACACATTTCTGTTTATGTGACAACTGACCCATAGGTTTCCCGTTATGGGACAACAAATCGTTGGGAGATGCCCGAGAAGTTTGTAAACATCTGTCGCAACACAAAGCATCCACAAAACGATGTTTTTTCCTGCCCCTTGTTGGCTTGAGCGCGTCAAGCTTTGTGCAAGAATGGGATATTGTTATGGACGCGTCGCATCGCATGAACCAATGTGGTCTTCGGTTCTCTCAGAGCTGAAGCCTGATCAACGTGGACAGGACAGCACTGCTTCGTATTTTCTGCGAGACAACCAATCCGTGTCCCGATAAACATGTGTTGGCTCTACGCACAAATTCGGGGGTTAGGGCTTGAGCTTTTCCACATGAGAGGGAGCCATCAGTGAGATTCCCGATCAACATCCTATCTTCGCCGTCAAATTCCTCGTTTGAGGATTCCTCAAGTCTGGACTAGGTATTTTTAGTCAGAATAACACAAATTAACATTGGCATCTTTGAGCTCCCATGGAGCCGTTCAAAGCAAATACAGTAATATTCTTAAGTCAGCATGTTTTTATCAATGCGCACCTGCATGATCAGGGGAGATAACCACACTGCATGTCGATAGAAAACAACCATACTATGGTGCTAAGGTCAACATGTCCTTATCAATGCTCACATGCATGATAATAAAATATACGGTATACCTAATTGCACTCACAGAAGGAATGCTAATTCGAAATAGACTATTGGGGTATTCGAAATACCTTTTTTATTTGCTTTGGCATATTTTATAAGTCTAATTTCCTATCATTTCATGTGCTGCATCAATGTGAGGAGCCTGGAGGTCGTTTGGGTGGAGCGGAAGGATATCGAGCAGGATGTTGGATGGCACGCTCCATGGGCGGATGCGCTACCTAGTGGATATACAGGTGTTGAGGTAGGGTAGGGTGTTAGGGAAATTTAATTGTAGTATGCTTGTCGTAGTGATATCGCATTTTCTTGTGCCATCCCATTCCATCAGATCAGACAATTCCTTCTTCATCAACCACACCCTTTAGCTCTCCTTCCTTCTTGTGTCTAGCTACATCTTGTATACAGGTTTATTATATAATTAGTAAATCAGGGTCAGAAGCAAAAACGCATCCTAAGTTGATACAGAGTACAACTCGAGCAGGATCACTGAGGCTAGGAACATATTGCGCTTACTGAAGGCTGAAAGGGTGTTGAATTCAGTGTTTTAGGGTGTTTGTCAACCTTGGCTAGGGTGTGATTCACAGCTGCAGCGAGTGCAAAGCAGCAGACTCGCGGCTCAGCGCGTCTTGTTCCAGTACCACGCTCTATATTCTGGTGACTTTCAAGTAAGTCAATGAGACGGAACGAAGATATTAAATACTATTCCTGGTACAATGAGACGGAACGAAGATATTAAATACTATTCCTGATATACCAATACAATGGGACGGAATGGGGATGGAAGGGACGGGATGGGAAGGGAAGGGGAGGGAAAGGAAGTGAAGGAGAGGGGAGAGGGCACGGCGGAGGTGAGAGAGGGGGGGATGCGGGAAGAGGAGGAGCGAAGGAGGAAGCAGGAAGAAAAGTGTCGAGGGGCGATGGGAGCAATGGGAGCAGCGGGAGCAGCGGAGGCGACAAGAGTGATCGCAGAGGCAGGGATTCTTGCGCCAAGTGGCCGCGATTCGCGGAGGAAGTCTAGGGCGGGTGGGGATGAGGAGGAGGAGAGAGAGGGGACTTTTGAGTCGACTCAGGAGGCAAGGGTTGCGGGGCCAGTTGGCCGTGATTCGCGGACGAACTCTAGGGCGGGTGGGGATGAGGAGGAGGAGGAGAGAGAGGGGGAGACGGACGAACGGGGTAAGGGTAGGAGGGAGGAGCGGACGGGGGAGGATGGAGCAGCGGGGGGGACGAGCATGGAAGAGGGGCGGGACGAGCGGGGGAAGGGAGTGAAGGGGGAGCGGAGGGGGGAGGAAGGAGTAGCGGGGAAGATGGGAAAGGCAGAGGGGAGGGGAGATATTCTCGCCACTGAAAGGGTTAGCAAGCAGGTGGTGCTTCATTCAACTGAGAAGGCGAAGGAGGGTGAGAAGGGGAAGGAGTGTGAGAAGGGGAAGGGGGGTGAGAAGGGGAAGGAGGGTGAAAAGGGCAAGGAGTGGGAGGGGAGGAAGGAGAGCGAGAAGGGGAGGGAATGGGGGAAGGGGAAGGAGGGTGAGAAGGGGAAGGAAGGTGAGAAGGGGAAGGTGGGTGAGAAGGGGAAGGAGGGTGAGAGGGGGAAGGAGGGTGAGAAGGGGAAGGAGGACGAGAAGGGGAAGGAGGGTGAGAAGGCGAAGGAGGGTGAGAAGGCGAAGGAGGGTGAGAAGGCGAAGGAGGGTGAGAAGGCGAAGGAGGGTGAGAAGACGAAGGAGGGTGAGAAGACGAAGGAGGGTGAGAAGACGAAGGAGGGTGAGAAGGCGAAGAAGGGTGAGAAGACGAAGGGGGGCGGGAAGACGAAGGAGGGTAGGAAGACGAAGGAGGGTGGGAAGGGGGGGAAGGAGGGTGAGGAGTCAAGCGAGGCAGTGGAAACTGTTTATTCCGTGCCAATCGCTCCTCCTGTTGCATCAGTTAGAGCTGCATCAGGCTCAACCGTAGCAGGCTTAACTGTAGCAGGTACAGACGCAGCAGCAGCAGTTACAGCGTCAGTTGCACGTCAGCAAGAAATGCAGCGGCAAGGGAAAAAGCAAGAGGAGCAGCAGCAGGAGAAGCAGCAGCAAGAGATGCGTCAAGAGAAGCAGCAAGAGAAGCAGCAAGAGAAGCAGCAAGAGAAGCAGCAGCAAGTGAAGCAGCAGAAAAAGAAGCAGGAGCAAGAGAAGCAGCAAGAGAAGCAGCAGCAAGTGAAGCAGCAGAAAAAGAAGCAGGAGCAAGAGAAGCAGCAAGAGAAGCAGCAGCAAGTGAAGCAGCAGAAAAAGAAGCAGGAGCAAGAGAAGCAGCAAGAGAAGCAGCAAGAGAATCAGCAAGAGAAACAGCAAGAGAATCAGCAAGTGCAGCAAACGTCAGAAAATCAGGATGTGGTAACAGGCACCAGCCAACGCTCTATGGGTCCACCTCATCCTACCGTGCTGAACCAGGCCCAACCACTCTCTCCCCCTCCATTTCCTGCCGCACCTAACCAGCCACCCCAACTCCCCGCCAGTTCCCCGCCTGCCACACCTAGCCATTCTCCACCACTCTCTACCCCTCCCCTACCTGCCATCCCACCACAAGCACAACCAGTGCATGTGGACATACAGAGAGAGCACGGGGGGGCTTGGGACGGAGTGGGGAAGGTTCAGTTCGAACCAGAGAGCGGGATTGAGAAGGGAGAGGCACAGGGTGCAATGGGGAAGTTGCGGGTCGAGCCAGACACAGAGCCCAAGGCGAAGAGGAAGAAGCTGAAGCGGTTGACTAGCATACATGTGACGCAAGGGGGTGGGGAGGAGAAGGAACCGGGTTCATGCCGAGAAGGGATTGACGGGAGGTGCGCGTGCAGCAACAGCAGACCCTCTGGCGCCTCAGGGAGTGACGGGGAAAGGAAAGGAGCCTTAGAGATTGACGCGGTTACTGGGCCTGATGTGGTTGCCAGGATTGACGGTGAAAGAACTGGTGCAAGTGAGAGGGATGCGTCTGGGGAAGGGAGTGAGAAGGAAGGAGGATTGGAGTGCGTGGGTGTGCGAGGGAGGGAAGAAGAGGGAGAGGCGAGACGACATGGTGAGTTGGAGGGTGGAAGAAGGGGATGTTTTGAGGTGCGGAGAGAGGGTGAGGAGGAGGAGGGTGAGGGGGAGAGGACGGGGCGTATGGATGAGAAGAGTGGGAGGAGGGAGGAGTGTGTTGGAAGGGAAGGGGAAGAAGTGCATGAGGGGAGTGATGGGGGAGAGTTGAAAGGGGAGGGGAGGAAAGGGGAGGAGAGGAATGGGGAGGAGGAGATGAAAGGGGAGGAGAGGAAGGAATGCAGGGCAGCAGAGAGCGGAGGTGGATGTGTGGTGCAGGGGAGGGTGGCGAGGGCGGTGGGGGAGGAGAGGGAGGAGGGGGAGGAGAGGGAGGAGAGGGAGGAGAGGGAGGTGGGGGAGGAGAGGGAGGAGAGGGAGGCGGGGGAGGAGAGGGAGGTGGGGGAGGTGGGGGAGGAGAGGGAGGAGAGGGAGGAGAGGGAGGTGACAGCAGCTGTTGCTGACTCGGTGGCTGCTTCTTCTGCTGCTCATGGTGCTGATGGTGCTGATTGTGCTGATGGTGCTTACACTCGAATTGGTGCTGCTGATGGTGTTGGGGTTTGGGACGCGAAAGGTAAAGAGAGCAGTCAATTCAAGTTTCAATCCAATGGTCAACGAAACAGCGAGGCAGGTCTAGTGCGTGGTGGCAAGAATGGTGACATGGGCTTTAAGGATCGTGGATGCTTGCAGGGGGATTGTGCAATGCAGTGTGAAGGGCGGGACGATGGGAAGGGAGAGGCGAGGGGCGGAGGGGTGGACGAGCAGAGGGACGAGAGGAGGGGCGATGGGATGGGTGAAGGAAGGAACGAGGGCAGGGGAGAGGGGATGGGCGAAGGAAGGAACGAGGGAACGGGAGAGGAGAAGGAGGGGGAGAAGAAGAAAGGAAAAGGGGAGGAGGACAAAGAGGAGGAGGAGAAGGAGGAGGATAAGGAGGACGAGAAAGAGGAAGTGGAGAAGGGGGAGGAGAAGGGAAAGGAGGAGGAGAAGGAGAAGGAGAAGGAGAAGGAGAAGGAGAAGGAGAAGGAGAAGGAGAAGGAGAAGGGGAAGGGGAAGGAGAAGGGGAAGGAGAAGGGGAAGGGGATGGAGAAGGGGAAGGAGAAGGGGAAGGAGGAGGAGAAGGAGAAGGAGAAGGAGAAGGAGAAGGAGAAAGAGAAGGAGAAGGAGAAGGAGAAGGAGAAGGAGAAGGAGAAGGAGAAGGAGAAGGAGAAGGAGAAGGAGAAGGAGAAGGAGAAGGAGAAGGAGAAGGAGAAGGAGAAGGAGAAGGAGAAGGAGAAGGAGAAGGAGAAGGAGAAGGAGAAGGAGAAGGAGAAGGAGAAGGAGAAGGAGAAGGAGAAGGAGAAGGAGAAGGAGAAGGGGAAGGGGAAGGAGAAGGAGAAGGAGAAGGGGAAGGGGAAGGAGGAAGAAGGAGCGAGAACGACGAAAGTAGGCCGAGAAAAGTTGCAGGAGAAAGGAAAAGGGAGCTTCCAAGGAGAAGAGAGTGGAGACGTCTCAGAGGGGGATGAGGAGGAGGGAGGGGAGGATGTAGTTATGATTGAGCCCACAGGAAGAGGGGGAAGAGGGAGGGGCGGGAGGGGAGGGAGGGGAGGGAGGGGTAGTAGAGGAAGGGGTGTGAAAGTGGACCAGGGGAGGGGGAGTCGTGGTGGTGGCGGGAGGGTGGGTGAAAGGAGGGGAAGGGGGAGGGGGAGGGGGCGAGGAGGGAGAGGAGGGCGATATGGGGGAGGGAGTGGGCGTGGGAGGGGAAGGTCGGTGGAGAGGGAGGAGGAGGAAGAGGAGGAGAGTGAGAGGACGAGTGAGGAGAGTGGAGATGAGGAGGAGATTAGGCAGAGGAAGGTTGGGCGTCAGGGAATGGTGGGGAAGAGGGTGGAAACTGGAGGAGACGACAAGGAGAGTGGGAGAAAGAAAGAGGAGGAAGAACGTATGGGAAGGAAGGAGGAGGAGGAGGAGGAGAGGGAAGATTATGTGGCACAGATGGGACGGAAAGAGGAGGAAGGAAAGGAAGATGAAATGGGAAGCAGGAATGAGGAGAAGAACGATGAAATGGGAAGCAGGAATGAGGAGAAGAACGATGAAATGGGAAGCAGGAATGAGGAGGAGAACGGAGGGAAGGAGATGGGGGGTGGGGAGATGGAAGAGGAAGCTATGGAGGAAGGAGGAAGGGAGGGTGAGGTCAAAAGAGGTGATGATTGTGATGGTGATGGTGACAAGGAGGAAAAGAAGGAGGAGGATGAAAATAAGGAAGAAGAGAATAAAGGGGTGGCGAATGAGCCTGGTAGGGTAGGGAGTGCGGGGAAGCTTCTGGAAAAGAGGCGGCTTGAGGAGGAGGAGGAGGAGGAGGAGGGGCAGGGGAAGATGAAAGAGCAGGTGGTTGAGAGGCAGCGGGAGGAAGAGGAGCAGGAGGATCATGCTGTTTCTGATGCTGCTGATGCTGCTGCTGATGCTGCTGCTGCTCCTGCGGCTGGTGATGCTTCCGCTGCTGCTGCTGCTTCTGCTGCTGCTTCTGCTTCTCCTGACGATGCTCATGATGCTAACGATGATGATACTGACGATACAGATGAGGAGGAGGAGGATGATGATGAGGTGAGGGTTGTCAAGGGAGAGAGCCAGGTGAGGCGAACGCGGGACAGGGACAGGGAGAGGGAGAAAGGGCTCCCCCGCCGGGACGTCATTAAGCTCAGAGCAGTGCGAGAGCTCAAGGGATTCGCAGGCAAGCAGGACGTGGGACCAGGAGGAGGGAAGCTCGGGTTTGTCCCCTATGTGTCCATGGGTATCAGCCCTCTGGCTCTGCAGGGAGAGACTGTGCGCAAGATTCATCGAATGCGGACGCCGCGGCCGTCCTTTGTGAAGTTTGTCACCCGCCACGTCATCGCGACCGCGGATAAGGGCCTGGATCTGCCCGGGCCGTTCGTGAAGCGCCACCTGGCGGAGTCCGATCGGATGGCTGTGATTGGCCCGGGCGGGCGGCGGTGGGATATGCGGTGGGGGGTGTACTCAAAGGGAGTGCCGGTTTACCGGCTGAAGGACGGGTGGGGAGGGCTGGCTGTGACACTGGAGTTACAGGAGGGGGAAGCGCTGGTTTTTGAGGTGGAAAAGCCGAATCTGCTGCGGCTGCATCTGGTGCAGTTTGGGCAAGATGTGGTGCTAAATACGAGTGCCATGGTGGTGCCACGTATGCGGGACGTGGCGAATGCCGGTGAAGCTGCTGGTTCTGCTGGTGCGGCCGGTGGTGGTGGTGGTGCCGGTGGTGGTGCTGCTGCTGCTGCGTCCGCTGCTGCTGCTGCTACTGCGGATGATTGTGCAGTTGGGAGTGGGAAGGGGGAACGGAGTGGCAAGGGGCTTTTGACTGGAGAAGTGGGTTCCAAAGTGAATGAGGTGGGGGCTCACGCGAGGGGTGATTTGGCAGTGGTTGAGGGAAAGGAGGAGAGAGTGAGTGGGAAGAAGAGGAGGAGGAAGCATCTGGGGAAGACAGGAGGTGTTGAACAAGGTTACAAGGAGGAGGAAGAGGAGGAGGAGGGGAGTGAGGGGAAGGAGAGGCATGAGGAGGAGGATGCGGGTGAGGAAGGTGGAGAGGAAGGGCGGTGGAAGGATGGGTGGAGGAATGAGAGGAAGAAGGAGAGGGAGGATGAGAGGGAGCATGAGAGGGAGCATGAGAGGGAGCATGAGAGGGAGCATGAGAGGGAGCATGAGAGGGAGCATGAGAGGGAGCATGAGAGGGAGCATGAGAGGGAGCATGAGAGGGAGCATGAGAGGGAGCATGAGAGGGAGGATGAGAGGGAGGATGAGAGGGAGGGAATGGGGATAGGAGGAGATCGGGCAGGGAGTGTAGCAGCCAAGGGGACAGGCAAGGGGGAGAAGAGATTCAAGATGAGCAGTGGTAAAGTGGGAGTGAAAAAGAAGAGGCAAAAGGCACTCCCACTTTACCAGGGGCAAGGACCTGGGGTGCTGGTCGCAACTGCTCCCACTTCTCCAGCCACTGCTGCTGCTCGCCCTGCTACTACCACCTCCCATGGAATTTCGCCTTCTCCTCTCTTTCCCCCTCCACCCAAACCTCCTGTCTCTGCTACACCTGCTGCTGCTCTTGCTGCAGCTACTGCTGCGGCTGCTCACGCTGCCTCTGCTGCTTGCGTTGCGAACCCGCCTCCCTCGAAAGGGAGAGTGCGTGTGGCTCCACCAGGGGGGTGGAAGGTGGCCCGCCTTGTGCCCTCCACACGAGCCACTCGCCCCGTGCCCTCCGCTGCTGCTGCTGCCCCTGCTGCTGATGCTGCTGCTGCTGCTGCTGCTGGTAGTGCTGCTGGTGGTGCTGCTGGTGGTGCTGCTGGCAGTGCTGCTGGTGGTGCTGCTGGTGGTGCTGCTCCTGCCCCTGCTGCTGCCGGTGGTGCAACTTCAGCAGCAGCAGAAGCAGCAGCAGCAACAAAAACGGAAGCAGCAGTAAGAGCAGCAGATGATGGAAACCCGAGAGGGCAGGACAGGGGCACGGACGACCCGTACCTGAGCAGAGGCACGGCCGACCCAAACCTGAGCAGAGGCACGGACGACCCGTACCTGGCTACACTGTTATGGGTGCAGCGAGTGTGGGCCGAGCACCAGGCAGCCTTGGCCCGAGCAATGGAGGAGGAGGAGCAGGAGGAAGAAAATGCAAAAGAGGCGGAAGTGAAGGAGAAAGAAAAGGCGGAAGAGGAGGAAGTGAAGGCCGAGGGGGTGGTGAAGGCAGAGGAAACGGGGGAAGAGGAGGCAAAGGGAGGTTTGGAGAAGGGGGAAGAGAGGGGATGGGAAGGGCGGGGTGAGGGGCGTGCGGATAAGGGGGAAGGTGAAGGGGAGGGGGAGGCGGGAAGGAAGAGGCAGAGGACGGGTGATGAAGTGGGGACAGATGGTTCGGAGAGGAGGGAAGTGAATGGCCATCGTGCTATTGGTAGTGGTCTTGGTAAAGGCTCTGGTAATAAGAATGGTGATGGGTATGGGTATGGGTATAATTATACTTACAAGTATGGTTACGGTTACGGGTTTGGTTGGATGGGGGGAGTGGGTGCGAGGAAGCGGAGGAGGAGAGGCAGAGAGGAGCGGGATGAGAAGGGATCGTACAAGGTGAATTCCAGGTGGAGAATCTCCCTCACTGGCGTCACCATTGTCCCTCCTCCTCCCCCTCTCGCTCACCCTAACTGGCCCACTCCTCCTCCCCCCCCTCTCTCTTCCTCTTCTCCCCCTTGCTCTCCTCCTGTGCCCACATCCCCTCCCGCTCCTCCTTCTCCTGCTGCTGCTGATGTGACTGCTGCCAGTCCAGCTGCAGTCTCATCTGCTGCAGCCGCCTGTGCAACAGCCGCCACAGCCGAAGTGTGGACACACGCAACAAAGTCGGAGGCGAAGCAGGCAGGGAAGGGAAAGCTGACAGAGAAGCTTCCTGGGAAGTATCCAGGGAAGCCGCTTGGAAAGCTGACAGGGAAGCAGGGAGGGAAGACAGGGGGATGGAAAGGGGCGGGAGGGAAGAAGGGTGGGGCAAAGGCAGGAGGGAGCAGCACGCAGGCAGCAGAGAGCATCGATAATAAGATTGCTTCTTGTCAGGTGAACCGTGCGTTAGGTCCCTCTGCTGGTGCGGCCCCAGGTGGTTTAGCAGAAGCACCTGACGCAACACCTCATGCAATACCTGACGGAGGACCGCACGAAACGCCCGAAGAAGCTCCTATTGCATTACTACTGGGTGGAACGCCTGCCAATAAGGCTGTCAAGACACGGGCCAAAACACCGAACAAAACACCTGGAAAAACTCCTGGCGGTTCTCCTGGCATGCCCCCTGGAAGAACACCTGATAAAACACCTGATGTGAAACCTCTTGGAGAGAGGGTGCCACAGAGGGGTGTGAAGGGGCGGTGGGTGCGGGCACGGGCAGAGGATGAGCGAGAGGATTTGAGAGTCCCATTGAATTCTACCCTGAGAAAGGAAGATGAGGCTTCTGTGGAAGGGGAAGATGAAGGGGAAGGGAAAAGGAGAGGGGAAGAGGAAAGGGAAGGGGAAAGGGAAGGGGTCAGGAGGGAGGAAGAGGAAGGGGAAGGGGTAGAGGGAGGGGAAGAAGAGGAAGAGGAGGTGGAGGTTATTGAAGCTGGCATTGCAACCATGACTCCCACCACCATCACTCCCCCCTCCTCCACCACCACCACCACCACCACTGGCACCACCACTGGCACCACCACTGGTGGCACCATCCCAACCACTGACACCACCACTACACCGCTTTCCACCATCCCCAACACCACCACACCCACTACCACCCCCACAACCACCACCGCCACCACGCCCCCTCCCACCAGCCCTACCAGCAGCGCTCTGAACAGAAAGGCCTCGCTGCGAAGCCGAGTGCGCATGCCAGCCACCACCGAGTACCTTGGGGTCACTCTCAAGGCCCCCGGGAAGTACCAGGCACGCATGCTGGCACGCGACGGGACACGTCAGCGCCACGTGGGATTCTATGCCACTGCTGAGGAGGCTGCGCTGGCGTATGACGTGGCAGTGCTGCGCGTGCACGGCACACAGGCGAAGCTGAATTTCCCTGCGGATGAGCGGAGAGGGGAGGGCGGGAAGGAGGCGGCGGGTGGGGGTGGTGGCGTGGCAGGCGAGGTGGCAGGCCCGAATTTGGGGAGTTTGGACAGCTCGCTGTCCCCTCATGGGAAAGCTGGAGCCGAAGCTGCGGGAGAGGGTGGGGCCAAAGCTGATGGCGAGGCTCGGAAAGGCATGGAGAAATCAGCAGTAAATAAGAAAGAGAAAGGCAGGGAAGAGGAGGACAAGGAGGGCTTGACCCCATCAGAACCGCCTTCCCCAGTTGTTACCTCTTCTGCAATGCTACCTCCCCCAGTCCTCTCCTCCACAGTCAGTCGCAAGGTAAGGAAGCGCCACCCCCCTGGGCCCCGCACCTCTGCCCTGTCCCCATCTGCCTCCAAGACCGCTGCTCAGGTGTTTTCTCAGGTGCCCCCTCAGGTGCCAGCTGGCCAGGTGTTTTCTGAGGTGCAGGTGGGGAGTGAGGGAGGTGGGGTTGGGGTGAGGGTGGTGCGTGAGGAGCTTGAGGGGAGTGCGTCGGAGATGGTTGGGGTGGTGGTTGGGGAGGTGACTATAACGGGGGCAATGGGGGCAATGGGGGCAGTGGGGGCAGTGGGGGTAGTGGGGGTAGTGGGGGAGGTGGGGGCAGAGGATGGAAAAGAGGGACAGGAGCAGGGAGAGGTTGCTACAGCCCGAGCTGCCAGGTGTCAGCAGATGATTGGGCCAGAGAGGGACACTGTGAAGAGCGGCGGGAGGGGTGAGATGATGGAAGGGACTGGGCAGGTGGAGAGTGGTGGGGATGGGAGTGGCAGGGTTGAGAGCGGTGGTGCTGTGGGCAGTGCGGTGCAGGGGGATGGAGGGAGGGGTAGGGGTAGGGTCAGGAAGAGGCAAAGGCCAGGTAGGGATGGGGGTGAGCAATGGGAGAAGCAGCAGGGGGGTAGAGGCGTGGGGAGAGGCATGGGGCGGGGTGTGGGAAGAGGCATACGCATAGGCATGGGCACGGGCATGGGAATGGGAATGGGCATAGGCATGGGCACGGGCATGGGAACGGGCATGGGCACGGGCATGGGCACGGGCATGGGCACGGGCATGGGCATGGGTACGGGCACGGGCATGGGTATGGGTACGGGCATGGGCATGGGCATGGGTACAGGCACGGGCATGGGCACGGGCACGGGCATGGAATTTGTAAGACCACAGGAGAAGGAGGGCACAGAGGAAGAGCATGGAGCTATGCCTTGTCAGCAGCAGCAGCAGCAGCAGACTGAATCATCAGCCCCTGCATTAGCCGTCCCTCCTCTGCCCTCCTCCCCCCATCCCGTGCTCCTCTCCCTCCCCAGCATGCCACCCCCATCGCGCCGTCCCTCCCCCGCCCCTACCACCACCACAAGTCCCCTCACCCCCCCCCCTGCACCCGCGTCCTCACAGCCCCGATCCGGACCTGTTTCTTCCGAACATGTTTCTTTCGAACCTGAGGATCTCAGGTCAGGTTCCAGACCTGTAGGTTCCGAACCTGCTGGTGCGCCAGGGGATGCTGGTGGTGTGGGTGGGTTGAATAAGGACGGTGCTCGAGGGTGTGAGAGCAGTGGTGGTGGTGCTGCTGCTGGTGGGGATGGTGGGGATGTTGGGGGGGGTGGGGGGTGGTTGAGGGGCTTGGACTTGAATGAAGAGTGTGAGGATGCTGTTAGGGAGGCTTGGAAGGAGGCAGGGGGTGCTGGGGTGGGAGACAAAGCAG